TAAATGTTAACATAAGCACGTACCTATATCAATGTAAACATAAGCACGTACCTATACAAATGTTAACATAAGCACGTACCTATATAAATGTTAACATAAGCCTCACTCCTAATCTAAGAGTGAATAAGCACATATTCATACAATTGTAAACATAAGCACGTACCTATATCAATGTAAACATAAGCACATATTAATACAAATGTAAACATAAGCACGTACCTATATCAATGTAAACATAAGCACATATTCATACAATTGTAAACATAAGCACGTACCTATATCAATGTTAACATAAGCACGTACCTATATCAATGTAAACATAAGCACGTACCTATATCAATGTAAACATTAGCACGTACCTATATCAATGTAAACATAAGCACGTACCGATATCGATGTAAACATAAGCACGTACCTATATCAATGTAAACATAAGCACGTACCGATATCGATGTAAACATAAGCACGTACCTATATCAATGTAAACATAATCACGTACCTATATCAATGTAAACATAAGCGCGTACCTATGTTAATCTAAACATAAGCAAAAGTTGATACTAGCACTAACAGCAAAATATCATGACAATCGTTTTTTACTGACCATATTCCTTTTGTCTGAATCAGATTCTTTGACAATATTATGGAGTTACGCAGTCAATTTACAAAATTCAGGGAAAAGATAGAAAATAGTATATAAAAATGAAAAATACAATACATTCATTAAAATAACAAAATAACCGGTTATTCATCTCAAAATGCATACTGTTTCATCTCTCAAAGTTTCGTATTGTTGTACATGTATTCTAATATCCATTCATACAAATTCAATGGCAACTTAGGACTAATTGTTCAAATCATTGTCAGCTTAAATGTGAAAATAGACAAAATATATCAGGGAAATTCTGGTTTAATGTTCACATACTTCCCTTTCTTTTGGCAGGTTGTCAGATTTGGTTATGGTGCTATTGAATAAGATACCAAATGAAATGCATTCTCTCTTCTATCAAAAATTCGTGTATCTATTAATGTTATGCATCATGACTGCACACACGTTGGAAATTTGATTAATGTATTTGTTTTGGATATAGTTTCCGTTTGAGGGTATTACATTTGAAATAGCTGTTCCTATCAATAAACCACGTAGATTTGCTCGATCGATTAAACCATGTGTATCAAATGTCTGTTACAATAAAAAGAACATGAAGTTCTTCTAAAAACAACAAAGTCCTGTTTGTGAGTAGTATTCAATGTTGATTCACGATGCTGATCGTTCAGCTGTTGATAGTATCACTCACGTGATTCGATATCAATTTGGTATATATAATTTAATACAAAATAAGTGATATTTAGGCACCGGTTTACATTTTATGTCCAGATAAAAACACCCCCTTGGATGCTGACAAAAGATTGACCGAACCATCAAAATGAGTCTGTCTACAGTATTTACCTTGTCACTTGATATTATGTTTGGTGTGATGAGGTCAAACCTAACACTCGCAACATTTTCATAACCCGGCCACGGACGAATTATCAATCGGGATGATAGAAAACATCTTTTAATCATTTGAGTCATTGCTAAATCTGTTTTGCTGTTTTGAACATTTGGTAGCTTTTTACATAGTGTTCAATAAGATATGGTGGTTTTGATGGAATTAGTTAATAGACAAACGATGTTAATGCATACACATTTTTTTTCATACGTTTTAACAAACAATCTAATATATCATTGAATAATAGCATCTGTATAAAACGACATTTCAATATTTAAAGTCAGGAAACAAAATGTAATGAAGAAAACGTTATCGATCATGATTTATAGTTATACATGTACATCTGTACTTTTACACAAAGACAGCTATTACCTATTGTTTTATAAGAACAGGCTTAACGATTTGGTTATTTAGGCCCTTTTAAAAATGAAATGAGTATTTTCTAAACAATGATAAAACAAAACAACTTTTTATATATACATGTATTCGCATAAATACTGATTTTGACTGGCCATGATTTTAAAGTTTATATTGTATCTGAATCACCGTTCTATAGATGTTATTTTAATATGGTCTCTATCTATCCTTCCATCTGAATGGAAATGGAAAAAAATGTCAAAACGACTTAATATTATTAAAGCTTGGAACTAATGAATATATATCAACGTCATTTTTAACCTAAGATGAAACATCGACCTTTGTTTTAAAGTTAGATAACAGTATTATTTTAATATTGAGGAACTTAATATAAAAGGTAATTGATAAATCAGTCATCTTTCCTATGGAATATAAACTATTTTGTACCAGTGAAACAAATAAAATATTCTTTTGTCATGTCAGCGCCAATGATCCTTATGGTAAGACTTGGCTTCAATTAATTTACCTGGAGGCGCGGCAAAGGGAATGCATGCATTTATTTATGTAAGGATAATTTGTACGTTAGTTTTGAATGTAAGTATGAATGTAAGTATAAGTGTTAAAGAAGACAGTGAAAATAAAGAAATAATAATATAATTACTAGTAAGTAATTGTACGGGGACACATAGAAAAAAATGTCAAACCGACTTTGTGTCTTGTATGAGGACACATGCTTGTGAAGATGCTGATCCCGGGGCTCCCCAACCTCAGTAGTATCCTAAATGTACTGGGGAAGTAAAATGTTTGAAAAAAAAATTGACTTCTAGTAATAAGTCTGGTTAGAGGTCTTCTTGATTCTGTGATATTGGGGTAAATGCAAAGCGCGGTCTTTGGTATTACAATGTAACTGTTTATCATACATTTCGACCATATATGCTCTTTTAACATGTTGATGTAAATAATACATCATTATCTCAATCATATTTCACAGAAACATAATTTTCTATAACACCAAAGCCATACATACACAAATACACATATTTAATCGGGCATACAAGCCAAACACGCAAATACACATTTGATCATTTTTTATTCATAATCAAATGTAGAAAGAAATACAAAATGAAAGTTTAACTGATAAAACCGTCCATTAACACTGTCCAACATTAGTTATATTCTTAAACTCTATTGAATTTGCATGGTCACTTTAGGAATAAATCGAATACAAAAATGAAAATGCCTATATCGTGAAATAGTACAAACACGAAACGTGCTGTGTGCGAAATTGCAAATTGTATAACCAATGAAATAGTAACGCTTACAGACTATAGGTACAGTATTTGATAGATTTCTCTGCTAACACATGGTTACATTGTTTTTCTTTGGTCATACCTGGTTTGTCACGATATTTAACATATTCCCTGAGTTTGCTTTTTTTTATAAGAAAGACTTAGACTCGAAAATGTTAAATGTGGAAAATCTAAAAACTCTCATATAGCTTATGTTTCCGTGTCAGAGTATTTAAAAAGTAAGCCAAGAAATATGTTTGATAAATGTGTTTATGAGAACAAAAAAAAATGTCCAACTTTCCAATGCAAAGAAGCGCATGTAAAATTGTCCCTTTAGGGTTCTGTTTTTTCCTTTTTGAAAGTAATTTTCTTCGTGTTAGCTTTTATCGTTAACAACATATTTTTGTGCATAAACTGTAAACATGGCTACGAGGATGAAGCAAACTGATAAAACTAAATATTGAAACTGTAATAGCATTTTTTTAGTTTTTAAAAGCAACAACTGGTATTTACAGTGAAGAGTGGATTCCGACTGCGTTCTCAGGATTTCTACAACCTTATCCGCGTTGTATTTAACAATTTAATTGAGGAATTGAGGAATAATGAGATTTTTATATTGTCTATTGTATCTTTCATAAATTAAAAGAACTCAGCAGTTATTTCAGCATTCACAATTGCCAACGTGATTAAAACAGCAGTTATTCTAGCTTTCACGATTATCCAAGTGGTTTTAAGAAATTAAATAAACATCATATATCAAGAGTTGTCAACATAAATGCATGTTAACGATTGCACAACTAATACCATTCGAGTACTTAAAAGTATATTAGGAAGGTGAGTACACATTTTCCATACAATAATATTCAATACCTCTCTGTCTCCATCCCTTTTACATCACTATGTTTTATCGTACTCTTCTTTCAATATATATTTATATGTAATAATTTTGGCCAAAATGAATTAAAATTTAAAAAAAAACTTGGTAAATATAACAACAAACAGTACATATATGTTCGTTCTTCAAATAGTGTTCATTGTACATACATATTCGCCCTCAGTTGTGTCTTCAATCACCGCCATACTCATTCTTAAATATCACGTAATCATCAGTAATATCAATTATTCTGGACCGGTGTTCAGGGCATCAGATGCACACCACATTCATACTGCCAGGTACATATGTACGCTGTCCGTATCTGTCATAGGTGAACACTACTCCCAGCGGTTGTGTACGCAGTTCTCACCAATGCTTAATGTACGCGACAGAACTGTACGTACCTCATCGTCCTTACTGCTTGTCTCCGCGTTGTTACCCACGTGATTTCCGGAACTGTGAATATTGTTTTCCTCGCGCTCTTCAATTGGCTGAATATAAAAAAAATGGAATAATTAAAACGATTTTGTTGAATCTATTTAAAAGTAACATTTTTGTTATTATGTTATAAAATGTGAAATGCTAGAATCATAGAATCATAGAATACCTAGGTGTTGTCGATATGATTCAGGTATTAATATTTTCTAATGTTTTATTGGTAATATTAGAAATAGATTGACCAAAAACATGTAATTGATCAACGCTTTCCAAATAAGGTACCGAATAAACATGTATTTATCTTTTAAACAATTCTTATAAGGCTGTACATACAAAAATACCTAACAAAACATATGCTACCTGATCTAGTGATATTGTTATCCAACGTTGAAGCTGAACTTTCCCTTTCATTATCATACAATGCTTAGATTGGAAATGAGGGATTGAAAATTAAAAGAAATAAAAGAATATTTTTTAATTGTTTTTAAGAAATTCTTTTATTAAAAATGCATATTCCAAATCAAATAAACAAAGATGTACTTTATGACTATTTTAAGCATTATACTAACTTTTTTGCTCTTTGACCTTGCTCTGTAATAAACCATTTCTCCCAAAAACACTAGTATAGAGAGTACGATTCCACCTAGAAGTACGATAAACATTCCGGAAGCCACATTGATCTCTATAGCTTTACTCTTGGCACTCTGGCGGGGATCGGGACAATTCGGCCGGCGCCACCATCTGGTAAAAATGAATGAATCTCGTTACTCATACTGTGGTTAGATTTGAGCACACATGAACCAAAGCTAACGCTAATTATAGTTCATTGAAGATACATGAAGACATGAATTCAAGACAGTCCATGAAAGACACAAGCGCGCTGGAAAACAAGTCTGGCTACGTAAACTTTGACTATGTTGAAGATACATTGTAGGATAGCATACTGTCATTTACATTTAGAAAAAAACATTTCACATTCAGAGTTCTTACGTAATATACAGTCAAGACATAAAGGTCCACATAACATTTGTTTTCTAAACAAACCAAGAAATAATGTGTTTCGGATAATCGAGTTACCGTGTGTGAAAATTATTTTGCAATCCCATTGATTAATTAAAGAATTTCAACACAAAGCTACAAGGCCTTGCCTTCAAATCCGTAATTAATCAAAACAGACGACCACAATCTGTAAACAATAGGATGAAATGTAACTCACCATACATAGTTTATCAATAAACGACAAATCAAGAAGATAGCCACGTTCTTATATCGATATGATGATATTTGTGCCGTCAATTACAGTGCTTTCAGATATAATATAACGTTATGATAAAAGTCTTAAATGTAAATAATGAGACTTGTAACCATATCTGGAGAACCATTTTCCGGTAGTATGAGTGGTTTATGAAAGTCGTCTGACCATTTGGAAATGTAAACTAGCTCTGGCCCTCACAGCTATTTAACGGAGAGAAACTGTCTTGCACGTAACATGTTAATCAATCCTAATAATTAACTGTCCAGTACGCGCCTATTGTTCTTTAAAGAAAACAAACACAAGGAACAATATCACTACATGTGTTCATTAAGACATGTTTTGCGATTGCATTTCAGACGGACTTATATTATTAGCCACATCCGTTAATTCTGCCCACTATTATATTAAACGTGTTCAATTATTTGATTGCAACTGTAATGAAGTAATTACAGTATTTGAATTTTCTTCAACGAGATTTATTCCAACAAACCTAACACCGGAGTTGAAAATTCTACGGCAGAAATTGTCGACATCCTGATGGCTGATGGTATCAACTACACTGCACAATGGTTAACACTATAACTAAGGACAAGATATACAAAGTTCTGTAAGTTAATTTTGTTTCAAACTCGTCAGCTGAAGGAATGATGAAAATGTAAAATCTTCCTCGAAACCGAGGCTTTTCCGAGCTTCTTACTTCAGAGTGTACGCCCAGAGCTAAAATTGTTCATATATGCCAAATTTACAAAATATAATCATTGTTTTCTCTCTATCTATAGTACAAGATTGTTTTGTGTAACTTACAATGGCAAAGCGAAAACTATATTTACGTTAATAAGGTACCAACCTATTAGAAACAGGTCTGGAAATTACAAAAAGCCGTTATATGTACTGAATGTTTGTTCAGTAGCCTCACGTAAGGTCGCATTTCAGAACGTCAGCCGGCAAGGTACGTAGCATTTTGACTCACACTATTAGTTTTACGCCTTTCCATTTTCTGAACTCGAGGCCAAGGATACACGAATACAGGACATCGGTTCTTTAAAAGGCGACGCGTGTGTTTTGCTTATGTACGGATCGGACAATTGACAAAAATAAATCAATATAAACTCGGAAAGCAAAACAAATTTCTTACACCTTATATATTTGTATTTTTAAACAACAACGATATACACATTAAATAAGAGTTGAATAAACGGACTCAAACGAGCAAAACCTGACAGTATATGATAAAAGCAGGATTTCGGTTATCTAGGCAGACAAGTAGCATCTGTTCGACAATCTGAATTATCGTTTTCTGTATTGTCTGATACTGCAGAATATTTCTTAAAATCACTTGGCGTAATAATAATACAGTTCACACTGTTTTCTAACCATGTATTAATTGACAATAAACAATGCACGTGGATACATTGTTTTTTTTACAAAAATAGATTTAACATTATCTAGGTTTTGTAGACACCAACGTTGATTCGAATCGACACCGATTTATTTGTTTAGCCTTGCGTGTTGTATTTGCTAGTTCATGTACTTGGATCCCTTAACTATACTTGAATCAAAATAAACAGGATTGAAATCGAATTTTATTTCTCTCAGATACCTAGTTAATCGTACTAAAGTCAGTTTCAAGACCATGCAGAACAAGATCCTGTTTTTTTTACATTGGCTTGAACGCATCTTATGATCTAATCGACGAATTGAAACAAGAATTGTTTCCGGGAAATCACGGGTCATTTAACGATATAGAAATTGCGTCCGCGATGTCGTTTCCTCCGCCATTGTTGTTTGGTAAAAGTTAAGTTTAACGGAAGTAATTTTAAGTGCGAAATGCAGAATTATCATGAAATTGTAAGAAATCTAAGAAGGATCTTGGCGCCTATCATTAAAGGTTTTTTTTATCAGCTCTACAAAAGATGTTTATATATTTTTCCTTCTTTGCTCTTCATTTTCCTTACAAAAGCTAGTTTCCAGTCCCAAAAATCAATATGCATCATTCGGAACCATTGGGAACTTTCATGTGTAATTTGATAGAGATCCGTTCGGTATTTCCTGAGAAATAGTACTGACAAACCTGAACTCTCAAAATTCAGCTTGGCTGCCAGTCAACCGTTTTTGTTTTCATATTAGTCTCGAAATTCAATATGCGTAATACCGGGACCATTGGGAACCGTCATTTGAAATTTTAGAAAGATTCCTTTAGTACATTCTGAGAAATATAGCTAACAAACTTTAACTCTAAAAATCAATATGGGCGCCTCTCGTCCATCTTTGTTTTCGAATCAGTCCTAAAATAAGATATGCATAAAAAAGGCATGGTAACCTTCATGTAAAAATTGCGAAAGTTTCCGTAGCACTCCATGAGGAAAAAAACCTGACAAGAATTGTTTCAGGACGGGATGACGGACGGAATGACGGATGGACCGAGGACGAAGGGTGATTTGAAAAGCCTATCATCTGACGATGGTTGGTTAAGTGCATATAAAGAACACATGGACCTCTACTTATAAAATAAAAACGGTACCACATATGTCTCACAAAACATTAATTTTTGCGCGAATGTACATATCCATTCCAATGTTAATCAAGCTCCTTACCCGAGAAATAAAGACAGAATTATAACCTCGATATTCCATTCAAGTTAATCTAGTAAGTGACTGTCTGGTTTCTAATGATAATATTGTCAATCAATTAAGCATGGAGTTTAGCCTGTGATGATATGCAAACGAAACCCTTAAAATATTTGCAGCTAAATATAATACATAATTTGAATTCCTTTCGCCTAATGATTCAAAATGCAGACATGTTTGTATCCTTGTGATTGTACGTAAAATCCATACCTAACTTTTAACAACACACTCTTGGTTGATATCTATTATGTATACATTTTGTATTTTAATGCTTAAAACAAACAGATATTATTCTTTCACATGATCTGGTACCTCAGCAGCTATTTATTTAATTTTACGGAAATGTTTGAAGTATATCGTTGTATATGTTCCTGTTTGACCTAACTTACTTTTAACACCCCTTATTGTTTTGTTATATATTATATTACGTATACCTGGATGAATAAACTAATCATTAAAAAAACACCAAAAATTGGTTTTGCCTCCATGTTAAGCATTTCATGCCTACCGAAATAGAATATAATCAAGTTTGAAACGTAATAAAAACTATAAGAGTTGATTTGGTACATACATTCAGATTAGGGAATTGCAGCAATGGTTAAATGTAAATGCTCGTGGGTGTATTTTGGTGCTGCTGTTATACTTACTTTCCTTCCAAACGATATAGAATGCCTTCATCATTAAGCTTCAGTGTTGCCCAAGACAATTGTTCAGTGTAAATGGAACCCTTCTGAGTAGCTATTCCATATCCTTTCAAATCGAATGGGCTCCCAATTTCCGTGAGTCCACAGTCGTTTGCTATGTGATGTCTTACAACGGGCGAATCCCATAAGAAGGCATATTTCTCTCTCAACACTCGGTCGAATCCATTTTCAACTCTTCTCACCATGGATTCCTTAGAGAGCAAGTGCATATGTGCCCACATCTTTGCATAATGCGATATATTTGTATGCTTAAAGAAGTTTTCTATTTGACTTCCATCCACAGTACCGTAGTCGAAGTCTGTCTGATCAGCTAAATCAGCAGCCGAGTCTATAGGTATATGTGCATTGGATATAGTTAAAAACGCAGCTAAATTAGCAGTATATATAGAAATTATAATTAAAGAGAAAAACCACCACGCAGAACTTACGATTCTACTAGATATCCCAGTTGGGGAACCAGTTAAATTTCCACGTAGGATAGTTCCCCAAATGTACCAAAAACTTTCTCTAAGATTGTGCATACACTTCGGTTTTCTGTCGTTATTCACACGACTTGTAGCAAACAGCATTAAAGCCGTAGTCACGAAACACAAAAATATTGCTATCCACACGTACTTTGACAGTGGGGATAAAAACTGAAATGGTGACACACTTCTGTCCGGTTTTTTCACAACAACACTAGTTCCTTTTGTCATGAACGGCTTGGTAAAATCCACAGCCATTGATCTTTTTGGCGTGATTTGGAATGGAGCAAGGGCTATGTCGGCTTCCTGGAAATTATAACAGAAATAAATAACGTCCATGAGATTTCCTTTTCTTTCATTTTATATGACAATTCTTTGACATTGCCGATATTATTTGCACATTTACGATATATTGGAGGAACCTATTTTGGCAAGTTTTAAAACTTTTACTCGATCATATTTTTAAAAAGTGTTGTTCTTCAATATCATACCCTCGGAAATTATCACAATTTGGGATATATTTTTGGAAGTATGCACATTTTTAATTTTTTTATTCAATCATATATAAATATATGATACCTTTTCAAACAAGACTCTGACCATCCCTGTCCACCCGTGGGATTTCAAACTGCCAAATTTGCCATCGGGTACTAATGTCAGATTGTACGTAAAATCCAACAGCTTGGCCATTTCGTCTAGCACGCTGATACAGAAACCTTCGAGGTGGTCGTTTAAGTTGTAAATTGGGTGTGACAGTGGAGTGTCATTCTTCCATTGGATAAAGGGAGGCTCCTAAGAGGAAAGAAGAAGGATGAAAGGTAGCAATAACAATTGGTTAACGTCTAGACATCTCTCTTGTCGTATAAACCAAGTGAGCACAAACAAACGAATTAGATTTTGTGTTTTCAAACATAAACCGGTATGTGGTACATTCATGAAACAAAAACTAAATAGCTACAATAAAATCGAAAAACGAACCGATCAAATATCATTTCCAGTGATTTGTTTTAAGCAAAAACCGTTTAGTGACAAGTTTTTATTTACCTATTACTACTATTACCTTCCCAACCACTAAAATACAAAAAATCATCGCAGTATGAAGAAAGCCAAATTACAATTGCTGTTCCATTAAACTTTCCCACAAAATAAAAAAATCTAGACTGATATGTTATAAAAGTGTCATGAACTAGGTAAATTAATTTTCTAATCCTTTCAGATGTTTTAACTTTTATATTGTTAATATCTGACAACGTAAAAGCTGGCAAAAGTGTACATGTATGTATTAGAAAAGGGTAGCAACGTTATGTAAGTAACACAAGGATTTCATATTTGATTCCGAAATGCATCATAAATGTGACCACTTCTTCACTAAAGATTGAACAAAAATTGTCTGCATTCAATATTAATATTTCCTTTCATAATCGTTTAAAGCAAAACAAAAGAATCAATAGGTTGGCTCCGAGAATTCGATATAGTTTTTAATCGCATGTTTATGAGATTCAATTTAATGAGCTTCAAACATTAAATAACTTGGCACACCATTAGTTAGTTGTATCATCAGATAGAATTGAGTGACACATAAAGACCGATGTCAAAATTGGCATTTATGTGTGATAATTATCGTCACAACGATATTATATTTTTGAATTCAATATAAAGGAATTATATAATATACATTTTACAGCGTAAATTAACAAAAACAAGTTCGTTACTAATATTATACAAGAAAAGACAACAACAAGAAACAAAGAGACTTCACAGGATATGGAAACACGATAGGAACTCTGTCTATCAACAGCTGTTCGAAAACAGCATAGCTCACATTTTTCAAAATAACACTTAAACGTATTAGTCAAAGACATGTGAAATTAAAAATAATATTTGAAAGAACATGAATTTGAAAGTCGACGGAAAAAACATTGTATGATTTTGTTTTTTTAGCAAGGAGTCCGTATTTAACATTTACAAAAATCTGATTAAAATAATTAACTTATTGTATTAAATGGCAGTAAGTGAAAAAAAATTGTTTATACTCCTGCAGCCTAATTCGAATGAACGGTATAATACATTTCCATACATTATCTCCAACCTTCACGTGTTCATTTAATTCTTTGTGTCAAATATTCGCATGTGTACCTCAATTATGTGACAAGCATAGAAAACATGCCAGTATCTAAATATCAGGTGAGTCATGTGTTCAATCATTTTCAGTAAGTTGTTTCTTTTCCTTTTCAATGATGTCTCAGCAAATCAACTCAACTCGAAACAGTCATTTATACAACAAAAACTATGATATACACAATATCACTAAGCAAGTGAAAGACATGCAAAATAAGTAGAAAGTTGAAAGTTAGAGCCGCCTTCAAAACATCACCCTGCATTTCATATGAGGCTTTTCATGTCAATAACTTCAAATAGAATGTATTTACCTTAGAGATATTGCATTTTCAAATCGTTAGAAATATGCAAATCTTTTTAGAAACTGTTCTAGTTCCCTTTTAAATATTTGAATTAACTGAATAATTTTATAATATATAAATATATGAATATTTATATCGCAGTATCTTATTTAGTACACAAGAACATTTCCCTGCACGATGGTGTATGTCCTAGGTAATTTGATTTTAAAAATAGTGCAGTAGTATTTAAATTAATTGAATAATACATACGATGAAAACAATAATAATGAAAATTCAATTTGCAATATCAAATCACGACTACAAACTATCATCATCGAATAAAATGCTTTTCAACGTGATTGACAGAGACATAAACTTCATTGTTTTTTCCCCCAAAGAATGGAAAGCTATAAAAATGGTCATATTTTAACCTCAAAAGTTCAAAACGAAATCTGATATTTGTATGTATTTCTTCAGTGTTACTTACCATGACAAATTGTATGTTATATATTGTATATGCCGTCATATTTTCAGCAGTTAAAATAAAGCCACCATCACCTCGTGTTAAACTCAGCCTCAACCAATAAAATACGGCGTCATATGATACTGAGAAAATCTTCCTCATCTAACGTCGTATTTCATTGGTTGAACTCAGAGCTGTGATTGAGTCTGCGTTTGTGCTGACTCGGTGATACATACAGTTTGAAGACACAGTCGTAAAATAATAATAAAAAATGTGTCCTTTTCATAAAGTTTTAATATTATCTCGGTCAGGTAAAATAAGTCAAAAACAAAAATTAAAGCAGGCCGACTTTGTTTTTTGTGTCCATTTAGCTAATTGATTCATTGGTCCACTTTATTATTTTTATATTTAGGGTAAAAATAGCGAAACAAGTACCCATTCTACATAAGTAATGTACATGTATTAAGTTAAAAAGTTTGAATAATATCCTTTTGATAAGAACATGTACTTGCAGTTTGAAAGACAGTAAAATAGATGATAGGCTATGGAATGTGATACATTCTGTCATATGACAATGTATTTTGATATCAATAATTAACCAACTATTATCATATTTTATAAATATGACGTAGCACATTAATACTAAGTTAAAAAGCATTCAAAACGTCATAGCAGGTTTTTTGACAGATTAACGGACAGTGGGCGAACTTTCGCGAACCCTTATTGGTTCTGTTGTACTTTAAATGTATTCTTGCCGAAAAGAAACCTTAGCTTAAATAAACAAAACCATACCGTGTCAACAAAATCAAAAATTCCCCACAAACTTGAACACAAATTCAATACGAGGACCAACAAACGGACATCGAAACAAAACAATCAGATAAATTTACTACATTTTTAAACATAGATAAACAAAAGTTTAAATGTATTTGGAAACATTGTTTTTGCGAACAAAATAAATACATTACAAACTATATGAAATATACATCACAGAAACATACATTTTACATACAACGACAGATTAAAAAATAATTGCTTACTACAAATAGCAAACACGGCATGCTCGTTCGTAATTTCACTCATATATTTCACCCTCCTTTCATTCTTTGATTTCGGACAAAATGTATTGGACCTCAACAACTCTATTTCACAGAATATAACAGGCTTAAGTTATCATCGTTGCTGTTTTTCAATAGATTGATGTGATAATATAGTTATACTTTAAATACAGCATCAATTGAATATGAAGAGAGTAATGACAAACAAGTTCTATCGTCTATTAACAATCAAAACTATGTTTGAATAAATTATTCAATGGGAGCGAAAAAGATTACAAATATTGATATTTTGATTCAAAAGTGGCGAAAACCGGAACCTTTTTAATTCAAACTTGATCATACACGTCACATTTGATATGAATAGTTCACTAACAGTGACTCCCATACGATGTCGGTACTTGATTCTTCTACCACTGAAACAACCACAATTGGCACAGTCCATTTAAATCTTATGTACATTTTGTCCTTGTCAATGGAGCAAATAGATAAAGTAAGTAGGTTGGTACCGTCATGACTAATTTTCTCTACTTACTGAGGGTTCGGGTCGAATATTCCCTGCATACAATAGATCAACAAAGCTCGCAGTTGGTGATGGACGCAATTCAAATATCACGTTATACATCACAATAGATACTGTAAACAAAAGTTTGACTATTAAAACAGTGTTCCAACATAAAATCATCTATCCCGGACGCACTTACGATGATAGTTGTAATTCGAAGTGGTTCGTTGCTAAATATGTCATCGCCCATTCTCATCACACTGTCGTACGATCTGGACGGTTCGATCCGCTTATGCATGGTATCCTTAAGACTTCTCCATGTTCCTGACTGAAATAAAGTACTCTGTAAATGTTTGAAGAAGAGAAAACAGAAACGAAGCGTCAGTATACGTATCACAGGCGCAGACACATGCGCAGACATACACAATAAACAGGAAGTGAGGCTCAAGAACAAAGGAAGATAACTAAACAATTAACACTGAAAGTTGAATTTATGAAAATATAATGTGATTAAAACCAAAATCACAAATAGATAAATAAAAACTAAAAAAAAATGTATCATATTTGGAAGTTGATGACTGAGTTATGGAAACATGAAATGTTATGGCATGCTATTAATAAAGCGGGTTTTAAAAATTGGAAATATTTGAGATGCAATGTTATGAATATTTGTTTTTCGATTTATCTAGAGCCTCACTTTTAATAGATATTAGATATTATGATAACATATAATACAATTGCTCGTTTTCACTGTTATTAATTATAATACCTTGCATTGGAGTGATAGGTATGACATTTATGTAAACCTGTGTTTCAAAACCGTTTTTGATATTTGTGTAAATAACCGCTATGGTAATATAAAGATAAATCCCTAGCAATTGGGTAAATTCTGTACACAAAGCCAACAAAGTAAACATTGAATAAATGACTAAATAATTTAACATTTCAACAATTAAGGACTAATCAGGGGTATTAAAGTCAAAGAAAAGAAACAATTTGTAATATTTTCCCTAAATTTGCCAAGTTGAAACGCCTGTGAAAATGAGCAAATGTACAATGATACGAGTCTATATATAGACACATAAAGCTGATGAACTATAACTAACTACAGATAGGTCAAGTATGTACATCTGTAACAACTACTACAGCATCTAACACTATATTAAGTGGTAGTTAAGTGAGTTATTTTATAAATATATACGTTAATGAGAAAAAAGATGTAAGTTTGCATCAGTTTGTTCTATAAGCTAAAGATAGTATACTTTTAGAATTTTCTAGTTCTACAGAATGATAATTGTAAATCACTTCTATTTCGCAATTACTTATTTTTGCCATTTCAGGAATTCACCCTCTTGGATTTCAATTTGATATATGAGCAATTAATTTAATAGACGCTTATTCCTATTTTTCGCGAAATGAACAATTCGGATTTATTCATATAGTCTTTGAATACGAAAAATGAAAACAAAATTATAAGTAGGAAAAGAATCTTTAGAAATGTTCGTGATATATTAACATTCGTGGGATTTTGAAATTCGCGACTGAAGAACTTTTTCGAGTTAACGCGAAACTGTGTAGATTGCGAAATAAACGTGAGACACAGAATTATCAGTAGACAAAAGTACATACATTGTTTAGCATGCTGAACTGGAGCATGGACACTCACTAATATTAGGTTAAAACGAGATTAAGTAGAGAACACAAAGGAAATAATTTTATTATCACTACTGAAGCAAACAATACGGTTACTGTGGTTACAGATGAAAACGCACTGTTTTTATACACATTTGAATTATTGTTTAAGAAGCATTAGTGTTTATATAACAGAAAACAAAACGAAAAGAGTTTTTTAATAAATAAACGGACGATGTATATAATGCATGGACATTTCTTACCTAGATTACGTTAGTCATATATTCCTTTTAACAAAAGATGATGTACATCACATATGAAATATAATCCGCTAATGTCCTCGATTTTGTTACTGTCAAATGATTTAAGCTATCGTCGAATTCTCCTCCTCTGACCTGCTATTGCTAATCGATAGAGTGTTTGCATTACCAATGTTTCAAAACTATATTAATAATTAATCGCCAAGTATATATCGTGTCAAGTTCACTCTCTTGTTTGATTTCACTGTCTAGTTCAAGGTTAAAACAGGCAAACAAACATCGCCCTTTGTGTAGGGGCTAAAAGGACGAAATACAACAAGGGTAAAAATATGACGCTTTATAACAACATCGACATTGTATTACACTTCTAGTGAAATTTAGAAACTTCAATAATAGATATTAAAGAAAGGAAGAATTAAAGAGAAACTAAATAAAAATATATTACTAGCATGTCACTATTTGAAGTATAGCAACTTGACTAGGCGCTCCATAACTCCATATTAGTACTGGATTATAAAAGTGGACGAATATTACAAAACCAAACAAACAAAAAACAAACAAAAAATTCAAATATGCAATTTCCCCCAATAAGTCCCTAATTTTGCTTGAGAAAGTCGCGTTTGAATGAAATCGAAGGTGTATCAATTTCATTCGTGGGTCTTATTAATTAAAGTTGCAGTATATCAACGGCTTTCAACATAATCAAATTACATTAACGTTAAACAGATGCGAGTGAACATAAATCCTTTAGGATGAATAAAATAAGGTTTGCATGATTTCATGAAAAATGTTAGTCTATTATGAAGAGTTGTCCTTTTCTATAGATTTCCTTAAATAATAATAAATAATGTTTAAATCTATTGAATAGTTTCTCTACACTATTAAGCTTTTGCAATGTATATGATCAGTACGTTGATTGTAATGAACATGTATACCATACACAAAATTACAAGGTGTTGAAGTGGATGTTTCAAACGACATTGTTTAAACCAATATCACTTTTCTTCGAATGCAAAATGTTGTTTTATAAGGAATTAGTTTTTACATAAACGTAATTCATGTAACTTGATATATTGGTTCCTGACAGAAACACCTATTTTCGTTTATGAAAATGTTTCTCTCGTAACTTTTGTAGGTTTCATCCAAATTAAAACCCACAACCACTTAATTTTATGACACCATGCAAGGCACATATGGTCCTGCTTAATGTTGAAACAGTAAATTAAATATTTTATCTTTAATATATAAATCGCCACTCTTACAATGAACCATGACATCGGTAAAATATTTCTTTTTTATGAATACAGTATTTCCACAGAATTCGAAAAAAAAGTAGGCGTGAATCCCACTGGAGACGTTGCATTCATAACACGGACACATTTGTTAATTTTAGAGTTAGTCAAATCATGTCAATGACGTCAATCATCAATCATGCCATACTACATACTCGAGGATAGGATCAGTGCTTTTACGGATGTGCACCATGCTACAACACTTGCGCAGATGAGCCATGATTTCTTAAGAAGTGCATCATAACATGTGACAGACCCATTCGTGGAACATTACATACGCACTCTAGTATGGAGGGATTTAAACATACAAACAAGTGTTAATGATTGGCAAACGCTAGTTGATTGAACAAATTTGCTTGTGCTTTAAACAGGAAAAAAATAAAACAAAATTACTGTCAACCAATACAAATACGCTCACGTGACTTTTAAAACGGACATTAGAAAAGAGTTAGTTTGTATCTGATAAAATAGAATCACATTTGATAGCCCGAATGTCCATGTAAAAAACATAAAAAAAAGGTTTCAAGCAACTTGGCTTACCTGGTAATCAGTGTCATTCGTCTCCACAAATAAAAACAGTTTTAATGAATATTTAATCTCTAACTACAAATACAGCTAACTATCTCGATGTATATAAGTGTAAAGCTACTTGAATTTATTTGAAAAAACATTTTTTTTTATTTGCACCCGATGTTCACAATCCACTCTTTTTTAAAGGCGAGTATTTTTGGATGCTAAATTTAATTAGAGATTGATCCTAATTGAAGAAGCAATGTTCTAAGTGTAGAGATTTTAATCTCTAAACTTACTGTGCCATTTTTCAGAGTTGCAAGTGTAGACATCCTGAGAAATGTTTCTTTTCTCTTGCCCGCTTTTGTAAATTCTACATGTCCTGTGCACCCATCAATGGTTATCTAAAATAAAAACTTGAAAGTAACAGTAAACTCACATGATCATGTGTTAATATTATAAACGTTAAATAAAACACAAGAAACCCAACTACCGTTTACAAAGCGCATTTGGGCTTTGTTAATTTCAAAAGAATAAAATACATACAGAGTTTAGGTTACATGATATTATTTAAGCATTAAGGTGTATAGTTTTTCTATGATTATTGGGCTCATTTATAATTAGAAACTGCTCGTGAGGTTCATCGTATTGTCATGTCAAAATGATGTTTTCGTTTATAAGAACAAAAGCTGCTGCGCTTTTAAAAAAATTCTTTCATTTAGAAACATTTGCAGTAACATATTTTATTTTACACTGATAACCTATACTTTTACCAAGCTCTGACGTGAAATGAATAACACAGATGCAATTAATGTAGAACCTTGTTCTGAGCTTGAAACAGGCTACCCGTGGACACTAAGAGTTGCTTTTGTGTCTGCTCCTAAACGCTATAGACCTTTCGGCCTGCCGGGGAGGCAGGAAAATAATGCTGTCATATGAAAAATTATAAAACACGACATTTTTGTGAAAGTGATCTTGTTTATTAAACAAAGTGTTATGTGTCGGGATGTAAACTACGATAACATTACGTGAAGATGTTGTATACCGTGTCAGTGTGTAGTGTAGACTCTAAAAGATTTCTAGGAATACATGCTGTATTGTACGTTCCCCAAAGAATATAAGTAACATGCACATGTATATTTGGAACATAGGACAATAGATAGAGGTACGATAGGTAAAGTATCTTCGAATAAGATATTAGGAATTCGGCCAAATTGATTAAAGATGCATTGATCAATAAATAGCGGCTTAATAAACAACATAAGCACTAATAAGTGACGACTAAACTGTAATTATAATCCAATTTAAATGAATAAAGGAGATCATTGAAAACGTACAAGGAGCATAAAACCAAATGTTCCGGAAGGATACATGTTTCCTGTTATCGACATCGCCCCCATCTAAATCTAGATCAAAGACTAGTAACGTAACATTCTCAAATTGAGAACGGAGATAATTCCAAAGATTGTACAAGGCACATAGGTGGGCGTATTAGTAAATGTTAATATTCATTTCGCCAAAGAAAAAAGATTAAGATCATAATAACAACCACACATCCTGTTCATTGCCTTCCTAAATCTACATTTCTCGAAAGCTTGCAAAAACAGTTTGCCTGTCTGTATTAGACATCTATTGCAAAAATCTTGATATTCTGAGCAAACCGGAAAATATTAAAATGACTCCGACATGTAAACACCGGAGGTAAGAGAAGAGTGGTAGTTGCTATCAAAAAAGGGAACGTTCATGATTTGAAAATATTGGATTTTTTTTACAGTAGAAATAGACAATATGGCAAAAAAAATAATACTACCTCAGCTTGGCAGTACGCTCGAGATTCGCAAACTATTTATTGTAGTAACAATAGAGACAAAAGCAAAGCAAACATGTTTGAATAAACTGTGCAATCCACTACAATTTAAAGCATAATTCCATTTTTAATAGTTCCGAACTGCAGAGCCCTCATTGATCTTACAAAAGCATCTGTAATTTGTTGAACCTTTATTGCCGATAACATAATCTACAAAAAATGGTCTAGTAATCATCGATGGTGTTATCAAGAGACTAGATACACGTAAATGAACTAGGATAGTTTTTAATTCTAGCAAGGCGCTTTTTAGAGTATTGCATTTAAAACTAATCCATAAAATGAAAACACATCTGCCAGACAACAAATGGAAATATTGAAAGATATTAGTATGGTCTGCATCATGTACAATTACTAAAAGCATGTGTTCAAAAAGATCTTTTTTGAAATTGATGATTTAAAAAAACAATAATAAATTCTATGTCAAAATGTTGTATGAAATGGATTTCTTTTTCAAGCATAATACATGAACTTTTATCATGTAACTGACCAATTTTGCTATATCATGCACACATGTGATACATATGGTAATGCACATTTGAAATAAAACCTCAAGGTTCTCTATTAGGTCACAACTGTAGAAATATTTTTCTTAACCACTTCAAAATTGTTAATTTAAGTTTAAATTTTTTACTGATAGAATTTAATGTTTTTGCTATTAAATACATTTTAAATGGATATTTTGTCATTATTATGTTGCATTATTGCATTTTATACTGTTTATTATTAAAACAGCTTCGGTTTTGAACCTTTATTGCGTCAGCAGATAACATATTATGGTGTTGAAAGTATTTTTAAAATCAGAAATGTCATGTGATGAATAGAATCTTACATTCGTGTCCATCTCATATTGAATGTATTTAACTCGTTCAATAAATTCAATGTGACAGGAAGACTCATGATAAATCCTCTATACATCAGATGTCTTTCTGTAATGAAAATGTAATAAAACACTACTTTATCAGGAGAAATTGGCAAAACTATATCTAGAAGGGAACTTGTCTACATAAAATACCGTATTCACAAAATTCATAAATACATATATTCAAAAATGAAAAAGTTATTCCAGGCGTTGTTCGGTTTAGGTACATGTAGGATGTGTGCTTTCCCTTTGACGACGTAATAAATTAAACAGAATGTACTGATGTCAACAAACTGCTGTTGTGATTGATACCAACAGCCTTATATAAATATACACACAAACACATGTATGAGCCTCTCATGTCTTCAGAAAAAAAGTGATAAAAGCTTTTATAAATGCAAATGGAATATCCATTGATAGGTCATCTCAGAAACAGTTAGATAAGACAGCCGAATGACAGCTATACGATGCATAACCAATAGAGATGGGGTGAAAAGTGCATACAACTAAGAAGCAAAAAGTGTCGAACTGAGCATATGCAAATGTAAGATATGACATATTTGGAGAATATACATGTCGACTATAGTAGACAGGAAACAAAATAAAACAATGTTCTCACTTCGTTTTCGAGGAAATTTCCAGACTCGCCATGCTGTACGTATGAAATACAAACATAGGTATAAAGACTTTCTAATGGAACAAACTACACAGCAAGGTCGAGAGGATGGGAGAGTTGTACACAGGGGTGGAGATTTGGAGAAGGAGGGGTATAAATCAATACACATGATGGAGTTTTATATAGAGACAATGTCTACATCGTATCTTCGATTTTTCTGTATATCCTCTGAGACTGTGAGAAGAAAAACCGTTTACATTGTTTCTCACGGTATCGTGATAGTCCAGTTATACTCTATTGCTCATTTGGTGGGAATAGGGGGTTAACACCGAAACAGCATTTTAAACTTGTGACTGACTGGTGCAAGTTTCAAGAGACAATTGTGAGGATATATATTCGAAGGAAAATATAATGATGTCAAAATATGTTTATTGTGCAATTCATTTTCTACCATCTTTATGAAATGTCTCGGCAGGTACTAAACTTAAACGATAGCAATGACAAAGTCTAATTATATATATGCATTATACAGTGGTGAATTATGCCTTTACGATCACCTGTTTACATCTACCGCTTGTCTTTAGCAACCATAGAAACCATTTTTACTATTCAAAAATTATTTTACTTTCTTCATATTCATTTCCAAATTGTTACTTTCAGTGCATTATCGAAACTTTGATAATACAGATGAAATGTCCATTTCTTAATCGTAGATTTGGAAGAGAAACAAAATAACTATGCATGTTTAAATTACAACCGCAGATTCCGTACAGGTTACTTGCGCTGCTGTTATGGGTACAAGGATATAACTTTTACAATGATGACACGATTGGTGAGTATACGCCTTTACAGATAAGTGAATACTTATCTGCCTCTTCTTTAAAAAAAAAAAAGACCGGATCAATATCACAATAGTCCACTGTTTCATTCCATAAAGTTCATGCAGTTTCTCTTTAGTTACTCTTTTGCATTTTTTTATGTTTATGTGTATTTCAACATAAAAGCAAATAAGGTCAAATTTAAATAAAAATCCATATACAATGGTAAGGACGTCTTAGACATTACTTTCTATAGAAACGTGTACCAAGTTTATAACTACAATCTAAATGTCGTAGAGACAACTGCCTATAGCAAGCCTACCACCTCTTTAAAACTACAGTCAAACCTGCCTTACAGAACACTTCTCTATACATTAAAGCAACCACCTGTATATATCGACAGTCAAAATTACCTAAGAGATCATCCAACCGATTCTCACTATAATCAAACTTGTTTTAGATAGTAACTATCTATAACTAAAGTCAAAATCAGAAAAAAATAACAATGACCATTTGTCAATAACCACAGTCAAACTTAACGTACAGTCCACCTTTCTATAGCTGTCATATACATTGTAACTACAATCAAACCTAACTTGCAGACCTTCTTTCTATACCTAGTCAAATCAAACGTATACAATTTTCTATAATTACAGTCAAACCTAACTTACAGACAATCTGTCTATATCTGTTATATACATTGTAACTACAGTCAAACCTAACTTACAGACAACCTGTCTATAGTTGTCATATACATTATAACCACAGTCAAACCTAACTTACAGACCATCTGTCTATAGCTGTCATATACATTGTAACTACAGTCAAACCTAACTTACAGACCATCTGTCTATAGTTGTCATATACATTATAACCACAGTCAAACCTAACTTTCAGACCGCCTGTCTATAACTGTCATATACATTGTAACTACAGTCAAACCTAACTTACAGACAATCTGTCTATAGCTGTTATATACATTGTAACTACAGTCAAACCTAACTTACAGACCATCTGTCTATAGCTGTTATATACATTGTAACTACAGTCAAGCCTAACTTACAGACAATCTGTCTATAGCTGTCATATACATTTTAACTACAGTCAAACCTAACTTACAGCCAATCTGTCTATAGCTGTTATATACATTGTAACTACAGACAAACCTAACTTACAGACAATCTGTCTATAGCTGTCATATACATTTTAACTACAGTCAAACCTAACTTCCAGAACATCTGTCTATAGCTGTTATATACATTATAACCATAGTCAAACCTAACTTTCAGACCATCTGTCTATAGTTGTCATATACATTATAACCACAGTCAAACCGAACTTTCAGACCGCCTGTCTATAACTGTCATATACATTGTAACTACAGTCAAACCGAACTTACAGACAATCTGTGTATAGTTGTCATTTACATTGTAACTACAGCCAAACCTCACTTACAGACCATCTGTCTATATCTGTCATATACATTGTAACTACAGTAAAACCTAACTTACAGACAATCTGTCTATAGCTGTCATATATATTGTAACTACAGTCAAACCTAGCTTACAGACAATCTGTCTATAGCTGTCATATATATTGTAACTACAGTCAAACCTACCTTACAGACAATCTGTCTATAGCTGTTATATACATTATAACCAAAGTCAAACCTAACTTACAGACAACCTGTCTATAGTTGTCATATACATTATAACCATAGTCAAACCTAACTTACAGACAACCTGTCTATAGTTGTCATATACATTATAACCATAGTCAAACCTAACTTTCAGACCACCTGTCTATAACTGTCATATACATTGTAAATACAGTCAAACCTAACTTACAGGCCATCTGTCTATAGCTGTCATATATATTGTAACTACAGTCAAACCTACCTTACAGACAATCTGTCTATAGCTGTCATATATATTGTAACTACAGTCAAACCTAACTTCCAGACCATCTGTCTATAGCTGTTATAAAAATTGTAACCACAGTCAAACCTTACTTACAGACCACATGTCTATTGCTGTCATATGCATTGTAACTACAGTCAAACCGAACTAGAGACCACCTTCCTATAACTAGTCAAATCAAACGTATACTGCATCTTCCTTTAATTACAGTCAAACTTAAGTACCTGTCAGTGGCTGCCATCTATCTATAACTTCAGTCAAACCAAACTAAGAGTCAATCTGTCTATAACTACAGTTTAACTGAACTAAACGGCTACATGTCTATAGCTGCAGCTAACATGCCTTGGAGACTATAATTTACTAAAGTTAGAATTCTTAACAACCATCATAATATTACTTCTATTTGTATATAGCTATAGTCAACTTGTCAAGGAGACCAACAGTTTATAACTGCAATGCACATTTGTATAATTTGTTTAACCTTTCTATAAGTACTGCATGTAGTTGAAATACTCTTCAGTTATGCCATTGTCATCCTAATTAGACAATGATGTATAGCGTCATAATGACATGTATTTTATTGAAGGTAAAAGTGCAATACATATACAGCATCTTCATACAATAAATGAAATGATGTGGGGTTACATTTTTTTACGCTTATACATTTATGGAACTACATATATAGGCAGCATGCATGCTAAAGAACACCAATAGTTATAGTTACCTGTCGTAGTGTCTTGAGCATTGCAAATCTGCCTGATCCGTTGTTGAAGTCAAGCATTGCCTGATAAATTTTTAATGAGTCGTGGTATACAGCATTGGTCAGTGTCCAGTTCGACCCGGTCAAGGCACAGAAGCTAGTGTTGGCGTCAAGCATGAGTGACAAAGACGTCATGTTGGCTCTGGAATCTATGTACTTATCTAAGGCTATGTCGTCCACTACCTAAAAATAAAAACAAATCAAGCAATAAGAACTATTTACTTATATAACAATCAAGAATATTTAAATACATGTGTTCATCCTATTAAACGTAACCGATCAGAAATGTACATGTAAAATAAAAACTTTGTAGATACTGAGTAGGTTGCGAGAATGCAATCCTAAATTAAAAACAAGTCAACAACTTTCTTACATAAATAATGTTTCGGGCCATCAAAAGATCTTTTTTTTTTGTATCCTGAAGATCGGTTAATATTGTGTATTTCTAATTGTTCTTTGAAAATTGCTCTCATGAATTGAAGGTTGAGTAAGGAATGTTTTCCTTCAAACCGCAACCTCTACATAAACGAAGCAAGGAGGAAGTCATCCTAGTTTTACTAGTTTGAATCTCCAGAGGATGGTAAGTAATTCAACCTTTCGTAGCTAGGTGTCGCAAACAAAAATATAAACAAGCATGTTACATAATCGTCGAGTTATCAATATATCATGCTTGGATGACAAGGTAGATATTCTATCAAATATATTTACATTTCTTTATTGATTCACAAGGAAAGTCGATCACAAATTCAGATATATCATCGCTTTTTCTCTCAGACAAATTTGAACAAGTTAGTTTTTTTCTCCTCTTTTGCGAAATTTAATTATCGCGATAACATCCGTCGGAATAGAATCGTGATATCAAACATTCGCCAATAAGCAACTGTTTATTCAAATAACATATGTGTAAAATTAAAAACAATCTCCTACTGCTTTAGAAAAAAGATACTTTATTTACTGTATTGACATAATTGTAGTAGACGAATTGTGTCAATATGAGTATTGAAAGGTTGATATTTCTACTACCCCATTCAGGTAGCTGAGCAATAAACTCCTGCTTTTCCTTTTATGTTAAGCCATCTCTAACAAAACCAAACAAGAATACTAAGCTACAATCTATTTTGTGCACTCTCAATAACGAGTGTCATATGAAAAATATATAAACCAATTTTACATGCATTGGAACCAATTACGATATGCGTGTGCATATTTCACGACTCATGTAAAGTGAAAATTGCCTTGTACGCTGGGGTTATAAATAGAAAATTACTTTGTTTGTCGTCTAAATGTAAAATAGCTTTTGTGGTCGGTGCAGTATGCAACACAAATCTCCAGGCCAAACTATTATCCTTGGCGCCATCATTATATGGATTACATTGCGATCACAAGGTACACACATGTAAAACAGATACTTACGATGTATTGTTCAATAGTTACAAAACATATCGAAACACCATTTAAAGTTTCATAGATAAGCTTTAAATAGCAAAAGAAATTATGCTGAGTATTATATTAACAAACACGAGTAAAAGAATAATTTTATGGATGTAAGCCAAGAAAAGGACACATAAAACGAAGTGTTTCTCAATTCAATCAAAGTCTGTTATAAAACTCGAAATAAATCAACCCCAATCTGTTCAGTTTATTTCAATAGAATATTTTAATAAATGTTATAATTCTTACTGACTTCTTTGTTTACCTTAAAGGGGCATCACGCTGAAGTAACATTTTTCTGTGTCTTTTTTTCAAATACTATATAAACATATCAAATGAGACTCCTTATGGAAAATAACGATCGGATTTGGCTGAAATAGATTCATAAAATGATTAAATCTAAGATATTTATCGGTAATTCTACCTGTCTGACCAACGTTTTGTTCAGGGATTTCCCTCTACTAGCGCATGCGCATAGCACACCATTTCCTTGTAAACAAAATGACGTGCCGTGTGAAGTAAGCGAAAGAAAAGTGTTGTACCGTATCAGCTACGAAGCGAAAAATTGTCAAATGGTCAAAAGATAGCGCAAGGGGTACGTTACGGAATCAATATTGCCAGTGGGAAGTATTCAAAGCAGAAAATAACTGCCCTAGCAGTTAGTACGGTGCATGTATTCTTCCGGATAGCGGCCGGTTGAGCTGACATAAAATCGACAGAAATGCTAGCGCTGTTAATGTTATGAATAAATATCTAAAACTATTAACCTCGCTAGTATCATTGTGTGAGTTTGCACACATATGAACTTAGTTTAATATGTTAATGGGCATGAATCGGAGAGAGTTTACTTTGTGTTTTTTATAATTATACAGTGGTTTATGCGAACGAAAGAGATAAGTGACTGGTTAGTTTCATTTTGCCATGGGGCCTCCAAGGGATAACTGTTGTGATGGCCACGGCGTATTCTGTTCTCTGATCCTCTGTCGGTGCTCGGGGTCAAATGAGATACGTAAGGTACGTTATTAGATTTACATAATTTATAATATTACCGGGATCAGTAAAATGGTATGATTTAATTATATTGCTGAATAAAACGATTTTGTTTTTGTTTTGACATGCAAGATTTAAATTAGTACTAATATAATACCCGGCCTCCTCTGGCGCGACGACGCAATATATAAAAAAAATCGCTCTTCGTCAGAAAGCTACGTTATCGCAGCTAAATTAAAAATGTCAAAATGACGGCCAAGGATGAATAACTGAGGAAGACAAACCCACTTCGTGTAAATAGGATCGCATAACTATTTTTTTTTTTTTAAATCGTAATTTTTCAACAGTTCATGTTTTCATATGATGTTGACTTAGAATGTATGATCATGTAACAACCTTTTCTCTATAAGGAAGAAATTTTCGACTTCAAATAGAATCGGAATACGTATTGAAAACAGGGGAAAAAATATTTGATTACGTTGTAAAAATGGCGCGTGCTGCCGATTACTACGGCTTCTGTTTCGGACAAAAGGAACCGATTAAAGAAAAGTTGTCTCAGCATAAAAAGGTCCATTTACAAGTATGCTGTAATCTCTGTAAAGTACTGAAAAGTATAATTATCAAGTATATCAACACGTTCCTTATTGACACATATTCTACATGTACACGTAGTGGTTTTGCCATACAGTTTATTGTGTGTGATGGTTAATATGACATACTAAATGTTAGCTTATGGAGACAGTGAAAGTGGGAAAGAGAGTATACATATATTTATATGCATGGTCTAGAAGAAAAAAATGGCCCAAGACATTGAGTTGTATATTATAATAAATAAATTCAAAAACGTTTCCTTTTTTATTCGCTTGTAGTTTGTCATTGCATATATGCACTTTATGTAAACATTTGAAAAGGGATATTCGTCTCATGAATATTCCCTTTTACAGAAAGGTTTGTCCCATTGTTGAGGGAAGGTGTTTAGCCCCGTAACCTGTACCGGTCACATTCCGGTACTTAATTCAATATATATTTAAATATATCTACATTATGTTTATGCCTATTATTATTGTTGACATATAATTGTAAATGTATGACGGGAGAAGGCTGTGATAAATTGTAAAAACTTGTGCCCTATCCATTGTTTAATTTTATTGGCAACAAGTTTATGTTTAAAGCTAAATATATTTAAATTCTGAATATTGGCAAGTGTGCAATTAACTTCTGATGATGAATAATTACTGTTCAATAAGTTTGAATACGGACTTAGAAATCATATAACTTGGTTTCATAGTGCGGTAAGAAGTTGCATAATACAAATAATGTAATCAATGAAATCATAAGGTACGCGAGAGGCAAAAAAAGCCAGTTTACATTGAACATTTAGTGTACGGATTTATCTTGGCACATAACGACGGACAGGACGGTAATGCATTGATTCCCCTTAAGCATTTAACGCTGTAATACATATATCGATTCAGTTTGAAGAAATGACACCATTCAGCACTCTCTCGATAAACGTTTCCACACAAAAATCACATGATTCTAAGGTACAGTGTGGTGTGTGAATAATCATTTCATTTGCCAGACCTTGAGAAAATCCTTGAGACAGTTAGTTACTGAGAGATTGAGGAAAACGTAATCGCGATAATAGTATATTTGAACGTATCGTTAAGGACATTCCCCTCCTCCTAGATACGTCGTTAGCCTAACGTTAATGAGGTTACGCGCGTCGAACAACGTCCAATTACAGGTAATAACAGGGCAAGGGATACCGACAAATTCTGTGTTGAGGATTTAATGTGTAAACGTGAAGCACGTTCTCTCAGTAAGTGTGATAATCTTCTATTTGTGATACTGTACGTCTTTGTTGTTAACCATCTGATAAATAACATTATCTTAACGTTACCCAAAGGCGGAAATCAATGCATACGTGCACTGCTGGGGAATGGTAGAAGAAATAAGTAGATTAATATTATACATCTTTTGCTGAACATATGGAAATAAGATTAATTCGAATATTGCATGGCTCAGATAGATTCACGTTTTCTGTGTTCGTTAATAGAAATGTCACGAATGCGTCTATCAGCGGTTATACTATCTGATGTCAGGGGATTACTTATGAAGAGCAATTCCTGAACAATGGCTGCAAAACATTGCAATCGCGCTGTAAGGATTGAAACAACTTAACAGTGATAATTTAAGGTTATATGTGTGTTAACATATCTTAATTCATTGGTTTATGTTGTAGTTATCTCTCGCAACTTTTGAAAAATATCATAAAGATATTTATTCAGAAAGAACGGCGACTTAACTTAAATGTATCACCAATTCATTAACATGCAATCTAAAATGCCATTTTTAACGATATTGCACTTGCTTCTTAGTAAAGAAAAGTTCTCTTTGAGGAGGATAGGGTATAGCATTACATTTCTGCTTCTTGGGATTACATAACATCGAATCATGAAAATGTTGAAGTTACAGATTTTGAACACCATGTTAAGTGTTAAAAACTGTCAAAACTTTCTAAAATAACTTTATTTACGACAGATATTTATGCTTTGACGCCTATTAAAAAAATGCCATACAAAGTATTGCATCCATATAAATTCAACAAGTTGACAGACGCTCGATAAAGATAGGTTGCTACATCATGCTTACCTGAAAGTGAAAAACATGTTTGTTCCATGTTGAGTAATCAATTTCACCTTTGGTAATAGGTTTGGTACACCATTGTTTGGGTATTTGTTTAAGAGGCACATTTATTATAGCGCTTTCATTGAACTCTTTTGAAGAAAACATTTAATGTAGTAAAACTCTTTGCTATATGTAAATTGTTATGTTAGGTTCAACTTAATTACTCCTCTTTTAAAATAGGTTACATAACTGCATCTTACATCAATCCTTTATATTCTCCCTCATTTTCTAATTGAGTACTGTTTTTGATCATTACTGCTTAACAATACTATTCACAGTTCTCACGACATTGATACACAAAAAAAAAAAAAAAAAAAAATGCGAAAAAATGCGAAACAAACATTATGTTGTAAGCCCATCATCGATTTTGAAATGACATTATCCATATACGATGGGTTTAACTATTAATTTTCAAAGTGATTTCCGATTAACTCAATAAGTTCAGCTACATGAAAAACGGAAATTACTTCATGTGTCATTCCAATGGACATTGGGTAATATGATTGAGTTTTTTAGAAAATGCATTAGTAGTTTCTACATTTTCAATACAACCAAACAAAATCAAAGCTAAACATCCTGGCAATAATCTATATAATGTCGCAGAGGCTTAAGCGCTCGAGGTTTGTCAGTTGATTTGAAATAAAACAGCGTTCGATTGTTCTAATATAGATCGTCTGGCGAACCTAATGTATCAGCGGCGGAGCACAATAAAAGCATATCGACAGGGATTACCACGCACAGAGTGCCACAAAAGAACACAAATGAAGGGCGATTACTGTTGCGGTACATTTCCACCTCCACCAATTAACAATCCAGAAAAAAACGTTTTATCACAGCGGTAAACAAGTGATAGACAGGATTTAATGTTAATTATTCGTTACTGAAGGACATATGGTTTAGATTGAGTGACTTTGGTCAAGAAATCACGAACAATTAGATATGGGTATGAGGCATACCAGAGATCGTATCAAGCATGATTGGCCAAACGCTTATCTGACATTCTAGCCTTTCAAAGCATTTGATTTCCATGTAGCCGCTTTACAAAATATCAGCGAATCGCAGGTAGAATCATTGTTTCAATTCTTTAAAAGTGAATGAACTGCATTATATACTGGAAGACAATTTACACAACCACCATCAAATGGGTGTTAACACAAGATAAATGAAGTAGTGACGTTATGTAAATGAAGGTTTTGGTTTATAACACTCGTATGAAGTAATAGGTAATCGGTAAACATAGCAATATTTCTGCCGCCAATTCAATTTTAGAAGAAAGAGTAAGAACTAGTTATGCCATTACTTGACAGTAAGCCTTAGGCTTGTGTTTTCAAAAATTTGAAACCTTAGGCTGAGATATACCATTTTTTCCAATAATGCTTTTCTTTCCTTTTTTTTTTACCTTTCCGTTTTTTTTAAGCAAAGTTGACAGGCTCAAATGTGCTGATATTTTAAAAACATCATCTTTAAATAATCATTGAATGCAGTGTAACAAAGCAAACGTAAAACGAATTGAAGATGGCTGTTTTTTTTCACATGGAAATAATCGAAGACGAGATGTAAAAACAAAAGATGCGAGGAGACCAATGTCATTAACTTTATCAGTTATTTATGCGCCTTGATTTGGGCGCGGTGCATTGTGCTTTTAAGTACAACTGATTTTTATGGTAGGAAAGTTAATGAGAAAAATAATAATAAGTCACTCTTCTGTTATGGAGGCGGAATGATATCAACCCTTGGGATACGATTTTTTAGGCTTAGCAAATCCTGTGATGAGAAAAGTACTTATCAAGTCAATGTCCGTTCTTCGATATTAATACAGAATATTAAGTAAATTTTATAATGAATCGTCATCGAACACAAATCGCCAGTGTAACTTTAACAGAAAGGGACAAGACTTTCCTTTATTCCAATGTCTGTTTGTAAAAAGATATTAACTAAACACAAGAGTGTGTGTCAAAATTCAAATTTCGTTTTGAAACACTTCCATTGTATTTCTATTTGTCAAAAAATGCTTGTTCCTTGCAAAACCAATTATTTTTTTGTGCAGTCAGCTTATTACAGTGATGAAAGTCAGTGTATTACAACATTTTCCAATTAATCATTAAAAAGAAATTGCCGACAGTGCATTTAAGAGATGATGCATTATACCCTAACCTTTTATAAACCAAAAAAGGTCCATACTACTGTTCTGGTGTTTTTTCGAAATTACAATTCCTAAAAACACAAACCTCTTTCCCCCGGACAATGTGCTTCAATGATGGTATATCGACCAAGTCAAAGCGTGTTTGTTTAAACATGAATAAACAACTGCTGTTTATCCTTGTTATTGTATTTCGCTTTTGGTTGCGGCCTCCCAAATTACCTCGAAATTAAGATTCCATTTAAACTATGACTTTCATAATGACAGCGTGTAATCTTCCACCATGGAAATTGAATCTTCACAATTGTATAAAATCCGTCAATTGTTTAAACCTCGCGGAATTCGTTAGCGTCCCTGAAATTTTATCCTGTAGATAAATTCCAGTGCTTAACATGTATTTAATGATATATAAAAACAACATCTACTTTGATAACGATGTTTTTTAATAGTTTTATCAAACACTTTTGGCTTCAATAGATATTTAGATATCTTAAGTAGATAAACTTTAAAACCGGACGTTTACCTTTGTAAAATGGTCAAAACCAGATTCATATTATGAACATTCTCAACTTTCGACAGATACATCCGATCAAAAATCGAATTTGAAATTAAATGTTACATCACATTATGCCTTAACGGGTTGATACAACTATATTCGAAAATAATGGTCCTGATTTTTACATATACACTCACCATGTTAACAACCAGCCATGTATTTGGACGGGAAAGTAAACTTAAATACAACGCCTGAAAGACAAAATCGAGTAAGTGAGTAACAAAGTTATATAATATGTACATATACTTCAACATAATACCGGTCAATACAGAATCAATTCGATAATAACACAACGCATAAGTAGTTAAACATAGTACCCAGTACTATAGCAAATACATGGGTAGCGGTGATATTTGCGTATGGAAACTTCAATGAGTGTTTGGCTATTGGCAGGGTAAGGCAAGTGAAAATTTGTTATAAAATTCAAAACTGGTACCCCGCTAGTGCCCCGTAGAACTGTATGTAAGCCAAGCAAAACAGTTGCCCACACAATATCTCTACACAGACACCTTTATTATCCAACAGCACCAATAAATTACAATAGTGACTTCAGAAATCGCGTGACAAAAGGCAACAAGCAATTTCATAGTTAATATATCAAATAGCTATCTCTCGATAGGTCTGAAACTAGTGAGTGACACGGTTCGGAGAACAGCTAATAAGCTCTGTTAAAAATGAGGTCATTGGCCATTAGTAACACTAAACGGATAAAACATTAAATACAAAGACAATGAATATTGTTATCTTTTTGAAGATGTATTGGACTTCAGATAGATAGTGAAACAAATATTAAAATGATGAAAGCCGTAAATATCCTAAATCACCCAAAATGTTGGTCTATTTAATGCAAGGGTATTTTTATACAGTGTAATATTCATAGCTAACAAGGCTGGGACATGCTATATTTATGAAGAACTGGATAATATGCTGCACAAAAATGGCATTTATTTACAAAAGCCAGAAAACTTACACCGCGAATTCAAAGTCAATGCAAACATTAATATTATTTAATAACTCACATTGAAGAAGTATAAACCTGACCGTATGGCGTTTTGTTTAATATTCAATAATATATTTGGTGTCCTGAATAAAGAGAGCTTACTAATATGCTTATGTTATAAGAAATGTCAATTTTCGAAAGCACGTAAATGCCAGAGTAAAATTACTGAAGCCAAAAAAAGCAACACGTCCAAAAAGAACAGTAATGTCAAGAGTAGCAAACTATATATATATTGCCTTTTTTCTGGAAAACATAATATTGCGCTGAGCAGGGGAAAACATCGTGTGTCAGTTCATATGAAATATTGTTTTCAGAAAACGCCAGGATATATGTAATTACAAATTGTTTATAAGATTTGCTATCGACATATGTTGACATACTTAAGAATTTCAGATACCAAAAGTTAATTGCCTTGATTAGAGTATGTGACTTGTGTGATACGGTGTACTATATTTAAGATAACTGTAAATTATTTGACCTGATACGGCCGGACTGCAAGTACTATTTGCTACCAGTTCTCACTTCTCTGGTCCCTGCAGGTAGGGCGTACGAATCGTACCTGCTGTCCCCATTGCATGATCGTGATAGGCGACTAAATTTGGAATCTTATCTTTTCTAATCTTTCTAAACAACTTCTCTTCTTCCTAATGTCTCCCTTGACAATGCCTTACTTTTGGCCTTTAGTTGAGCGTTTGCCCCTGTGAGGAAGGCTTTGGGTTCTGTTCCCTGGCCGAGACATACCAGAGTCTGTAAAACTTGTAGTTTCTACTCCTGCATAACGCACATCAATTTAGGAGTTGGACGACTGGTTCGCCCGTTGTCAGTATAATGTGACCGGATGGGTGTCCTGCTGGGTATCTTCGGCTGTATGTTTCAGTGAGGTAGCACTATGGAGTCGGCATCAGTTCCGCGCTATCACAAGGAGACAAACACGAACATATCGTAGCCTCCAAAAACACACACGCATACACTACACGCATGCATCTTGGACACAGGGGAGGCCGTCCTTTAATGACCAAAGCTGTTGATAGGTCGTTAAACAATACTAAACCAAACCAAACCAAACTCACTTCTATGACGTATAACGTAAAACTTCTTACATGTACCTCACTATCAACTAGAATACTATATTGCACACTAATCACCTGCAGGTCGTAATAAACTGTTATTTTTGCACAAAGGTGAACTAGATTCGTAATGTTACCTGTAAAAGCGGATGGTTATTTAGGTAATATTTGGATGGTTGTTTAAGCTAATTAACGAAAAGAAGAAAAAAAAACACCACACGATGTCGGAAATAAGCGAATGGTGGTCTTATCTCTCATTTTTTAAGAACTAAGCAGATGACAGGTTTTGATAAGCGAATAGAAAGTTCGTATGTTCAATAATAAGAACATAAGTCAAAACAAAATATTTGTTTTCAATAAGCAATATTGTTTACTTAAATAAACCGCATTATTGAATAAACGTTGACCTTTATTTATCTTTAGCATTAACTGGTGGAAACAAACTTACTTACATAGTATGACAGGTAACGTCTGGAGATAATTATACACATGTCATTTAAACGTATTAAGTGAATGTCTGCTTTATATATATATGTATTAAGAGATGGACAGTTTAGTACCTACTTGTATTAAACAATAGGTAGATTGAAAATTATACTAAGTAGAGTCACCTTATAATTTGCCCGAGAATTTCACTTACTTTTGATAAGTAAATGGTATATATCGAGCACTGCTTACTTGTATTAGGTATAAGGCAGATGTCAACTACCTAATTGACCAATGTAAATCTATGTACATGTAGCAAGCGGCAAATCGACGTTGTCAAAAATGGACTGAAAACAATACTTACTTGAGTTAAGACAATGTCCGCATTCTTGGAAGAGCACAGAATGATGAATTTCTCATAATAATTATCTCTTAGTTCTTTTAGTGCTAATCTCACATTAGCACTCGTACTGTTATAGCGAATGTCGAATGCCTTGATCCTATCCGTATAATTTCCTATTAAGTTAATCACAACTTGCGACGCTGAAACAGAAAAAAATATTAGTTATAATGAGTTAAAATCCAAAGGTTTTACATTTTGATTCATACATTTTTCTCATAGACAATTAAGATATTTCCAGTATATCTGATTTGTTCGATTGTAAGAGCGTGCGGCAGTAACCGTATGGTGTATTCAAACGTATTTTATGGTACACAGCATACAAGGTGATAATTGATTTTTTTTTGATTTTTTAAATAAAAGATTTTTTTATCAAATATAGCTTTAATGTAATCATCCTGTTAACAATATTTACTTATCATTTATAGCGTGTTTTATTTATTAAGTTTGGTGCATTAGAAAAAAAGGTTTAACTTAGAAACAAACAATATGTAATGTGTGATAATAAATATGTTGCAATGTACGAAAGTACATATGACATTCAGAACTACTTCCGGTGTGACGCCGGAACTACATAGAGTAATGCAATCAAAAAATCAATCACGGGTGACACATTTCCGGAACTCGGTCCCAGTCGGGGACAGTGTCGCTGATATCGACTTGTCCTCTCCTATTGCAAATTTGTCGCCAGAGGTTTTATAGCGGACAGACCAATGCTAAGAGGTGACGTCGTTAGGAAAGTCGTGATGTCGAAAGCTTAAGTCATGTGACCTTTACAGAGAGTTAAACTTGGAAAAATAATAGCACTAATACCACCCTCGCATTTATCCTCCAGCCGATTGAGCCATAATTACATTTCATGTGAAGCGGTTGTTTTACACTGCAGTGAAATACACAGCAAAAGTCATACACGGTCTACGTGGGGTAAAAGCGTCCCTGTAAGAGTGGTGTCACAAGGCGGCAGCGTGACGGAGATCGTGCCAGTCTGTGGCACACTCCGGAATAGCCATGCAAACAACGTGTCAACTCCAGCCTCCGTGGGCACCGATGGCTGACATTGTCAGATCAGGAAGCTGATTGGGGACCGTAATAACGTGACAACATCAGCAGCTTCCTCATGACATTTTTGTGTTACAACAATATATAGTACGGTAAACTGACAAAACCTGTATTGTTTATGCATATATGTACGTTTTACCTGCTTATATGATAATCTTAATGGGGTATGAAATATAGCAAAAATAAATCACGTGATGTCAAAGGCGTAATTACCATGAACAAATAATATCAATTGTGTCAGTGTTTAAAAAAATCAAAAAAGGGGGTGATTATATTTTCATCTTTTTCTACAAAATTTTAGTTAATTATGCATAAAAGTTGGTCACCACTTGTAGGTGGCAAAACTTCTCCATTGGAAAGAAAGAGATTGCAATCTTTATCTTTATCAAATCGATAACCATACACATTTGCATATCAATAAGATGAAAAGTTGTACGCGGACCAAGATATTCCAGGCATGGATACAGGTTAAATTTACTTCAATACAGATAGGTATACGTAGTTTGCCATGCACAGTAACTCACTTATGTTGCCTATTTATACGTAAAATAAGATCACCAATATATATTATAGTCCAAATGTGTTATTTAGCAATGCATTGGTAACGACAAGAGTAGTATGACAATTGTAATCACAAAATATCGGAAAGTAATATACAGCATCATAACAATGAAACAATGTTATAACTATATGATTGGGTTTAATCAACAAAACCCCATTATGTCGAAACCCATCTTCATGATGTGAACGATTTTTACACTAAAAAACATGTATTTCTCTGTTTCATGTTTCAATATTGGACGCTTACTTAACAATTATTTTTCCAGTTCGAATCGAAACGTATGCATTGGTTTATCTAAATCTGAATACGGAATTTGAATAATAAAACCAATAACTGTTTGATTCATTGATTACTGCGACAAATAATGCTTACAGGCTGACGGTGGAACAAATGATGGTTAAAGGTAAGGGGGAAAAATCACCCTAAGACGAGATTTAGGAAACAGAATTCTAAATATAATTGCATTTTTATGATTTTTATCTTAGGTGCAACAGATAGCGATCCATCCTTTTGAATCAAGAGTGGGTGTTGTTTGTTAGGATCGTACAGTCCAACCGTCCGTGATCGGCACTCCCAAGTGGCCAACATCATGACAGTGAGCCGTTATCTTACACCAAATTACGGTCAATCGACAGTGGCAGAGGCGCAGCGAGACCGTCAACAGTCAACGAGACCACTTCCGTTACCGATAAAAGTCAGAAGGCACCACGTTCTGATTTATTATCATACAAACATGTAAGTTTTCCTCAACCACCAAAGGGGCAACGTTTTGGGTAATGATTAGTTCTGAAAGAACCAAGGTTATGTTTAGTGCAATGCAGACATAAGTTCGCATCAACCAATGACGGGACATATTTCTGTTAAGATTGTACAGATACATTTGCTCGAATTTGTTGAGTACAACCTATGAGGAAGCATCAACCAGAAACGTCAAAACTCGCAATTGCCCGTGTTGCAGAACAGTCGATCAGAAATAACTTCATAAACAAAAGGTTCCTTGGCACAATGTCAAACTTTATTGTAAAAAAGGGTTATGGTATAAAACTAACGAGAGGAATGTCGTCATCGTCTATATAATCCCTAGCGAGTTATAGTCACAGCTAATATTGCTGTAGGTCAAGTCTTAATGAAACCAGTACCTACCTACATAACATATACCGATCTTCAGCACCATAGACTGATAAACCGAGGTATTTATTTGTCTATATTATTACTTATCGTTCCACACCCAGTGGTCGTTTACACTAATATTGCCGACAGTAATAAAAGAGGACAGGACTCGTTCGTGCTGATAATCAGTGGCCAGTATGGGATGTACTTGAACTCAGAGGAATGCGGTATTGCTAGGTCGTTGACCTATCTTCGTCTGCTCGATTAACATGACGGTTATAATTAAGTAACAATTCCAGAAGGCTGTCAACACATGGCTTTGTTTTATGTTAAGGCGCTTGGTTTTTATATACACATTTATAATACAGTTTTGAATTGTTTTGGAAGCAAATATTTTCGTCCTTATTTGTTATATTTCTTGTATTTATTGCTTTATGTTAGTCAATCTTTACACTTATTAATTGTTGAATGGTAAAATATTTTGCACATGGTCCATTTTTCATCAATTTACTTCTTTATGAATGCTACATTATTTGTATTGAATCTTACACCAGACAACAATAATTACGTATAATAACCGTTCTGCTCTGTGTTTGTTGAAAAATATAACACTTTAGCATTAAAATTAAGTGTTACCAATGCTTTAAAAGTGTTAAGAATTCGTATTGTTGTTAGAATGGCGCTCTAATTCGATCATCCCTGTATAAAAGCCATTGTTGTTTCAGACCAGGTTTACGCCATTCTTAATTAATTCATATATTCATATTCCTTATGTACCCAAATGCTGGGTTGTGACAGCAAAGAGAACAAAACAATGACGTCACACATATATATGAAGGGCTGGTGCTTTCCTTCTTTTACTTAATTCTAAGATACAAAAAAAAAAAGACTTTCAAATCCAATGTCATTTAAAGCTAGTTTCTTAAACGCCATGTGTATATGTTATATAAACCAGTTTGAGACCCTTAAAGGGGCTGGTCGGGGAAAAAATGTCATATTTGCTAAAATGGCATAAATATGTTTAAAATACCTTCTTATGAAATATACCCATTTGCTGAAATTCACTCCATAAGAGTAAAAAATATAATTATATTAAAGAAATCCTTAATCGTCACCTAACAGTCTAAAACTTTCAATTGACCCAGATCAGTGTTGTAATTTTACCGCACGCGCGTCATCAACAAGGCCAAATGTAAACATAGCGGCGAAAGAAAAAGATGCATGCAAAAGTCATGACAGGCACGAGGTATCAATACCGTTATATATAACAACAACATATAGGTAGGAATACTACACTTACATCATACATGACCTTTGAAAACAATTATTTACGTATAGTATTGCTGTCTTGTCCGCTAGTTGAGTCCGACATGGCACATGACGGCGTGCTATTGTTGTTATCTTCACTGCCTCACTTTCGAAACAACCACGTGACATATATAGATAGATCTGCGCTAAAACTACGCGGGGCTTCCCCTATATTTCAGTGGTCAAAACTGGACATTGCAAGCAGAACTTGACCATCATATTGCCGTGGTATAACTTTTGGAAGGCCAGAGAACGCATTTAGACCCATTTATTTTGTATTTTTTCCCCGACCAGCCGCTTTAATACTAGTGAAGGGTATTAAAATGCTTAGATAAATTAAACCGATTTAGGATATGTATGTTATAAAAGGCACATTTCCTATTTGCTGTATTCTACATGTTCTTCGAAACATAATTGACAAGAATATAGATATTTTTTGGTCTTAGTAACACCGATGAGTCCCAAATGAACGGAAGTTTATATGATGCAGTTTATATTGACTTTATTTGGCTCCCTCCATCACAAACTAATATTTTTAAAACATGAGCTTTCATCTGAACAGGAGATGGATGATAATGATAAGTGTGGTGTTGCTTTACAGGAATGTATTGAAAAAAGAGGTAAGGTCAGCAATATTAGGACTTACGTAAAATATGGGGACATCAAAATCGTGCTCTTTACAACAGCAATGGTATCTGTATTAGGCACCATTGCTGTGGTAAAGAGCACGATTTTGACGCCCCCATATGTTACTTTCGACCTTGTTTTGTTTTTACTACCACACTTCGCTGTCTCTAATAAAACGCCACTGAGTTTAATGAATAGAACAAGTTGTAATATGATGGAGGGGAAATACGTTTTTGCCAATCATGTCACAAATGTCAGAAAATTATTGTATACATTGGATATTAAAGGTCAACTCGTTCGTTGTTAAGTATCGAGTCGACAAGTAATAACGAAACACATTCCCACTGTACGAATAAAAATAATATTTATAACCGCACGACAGACACATTTCCGTAAAGCTGCCATCACCTCGTGTGGGCACACATGCCGACAGATGCAATGTTATAATGATTTATATACGAATATGCTGATGATATTCATCTAATAAAGTTTGTTGTAAGGTTATGTTACATTCCTATTTAAAAAACTGATTTTCCTATACAAGCGTTTCTTTGATATATTTCTGCTTTCTGATTGACGTCCAGTTTGCCATTTCTACATTTTACCCCCTCGTTGTTTTTCCATTGGTTCTTTTCAGTCCTAATCGTCATGACACGGAAAGGGGACAAACACATCATATAAATGGCATTACACACATAAATCACATGACTGTACGTCGTGATGACGGATGTTCATCCAACGGCAGCCATTAACCAGTACAGTATATGAAGCAGGGAATTATGGGAAGAGTCCGTACATTAGATTATCTATCCAAGATATAGTGTGCACCACTTTTTTTATTAACCTTTTCCTCTGGAATGCTATTTACAAGTTGTTTCAAAATTAAAACAACTGTAACGGTAAAATAAAAATCTAAGGTAATGATTGAAGGTTGTGGTGTTAATCGGGGTATTAGGCAAACTATCGTTAACTTTCCATGTCAGTATTGTTTTCCATTTTGACCCCGCCTCCTCAACCAATATTCCTTTTTTTATTTTAATCATATCACATCTTAAATAACCCACTCAGATGTCTACATTAGCGTGCTGTAAAGAGGGTTTCTATATTTGCTTTACTTACCAGCATCGTTGTCATATAAAATTCCAACTCGCATCCAATTGAAATACTTTAGGATGTCACAGATGGCCATGCGGTATACACTAGTGTCAGGAATAATCCGAATAAGAAATCGGTGCTGGCGCCAATCCCAGGGAACCATGTTTGTCACAAAATAAGGTATCCGGTTATGTTCTGTAGCGACTGCAAATGTTTCACTAAAATGTCCAATTAATGCTGATATCTTGAGAGTTTTTACGATTTCGTCTGCTGCAAAACACAAAAAAAGTATCAATTATGTAAACGTTCGTCCCTGAAATAGTTGTTTATCATATTAAAAAGAGTGTATATCCTTGTAGTTTAATCACTAACAAAGGAGACCTGCTGATTAAAGCAATTAACGGAAACACCTGTTCATTAAAGCATACATTTTGTTAGAGCGAGTATTTTACTACAAAAGTCATGAGAGTTTATTAAAAAATTAACAATATCACCATCAGCATATCATCTTTCTCTGTTGCAATTCCGTCTTTGCATATTGCAGAGTTATCTTCTCTTGTGAGCAGGCATTGATTGTTACGTCATTGGTTTGTGAGAGTAACGTCATCAATTTTTGAGAAAACGACGCAATTTTCGCACACAAACCAATGACGTAACAATCAATACCTGCTCACAAGAGAAGATAACTCTGAAATACGCAAAGACGGAAAAGTACACATGAATCAGGAATCCTTGAATAAATGTATTTATACACGCCAATTACCGAACGCTAATGAGATTCAAGGACCTGTCACCTCTAATAATTGGTTGACGTGTTAAGTGCGGGACACTGACCTTTACAATTATCAAGTTATTAATGCTAAATCGACAAGAAGTGGCAAATATCGCAACTCGGTCTCATTGCGAAACATTCAAGATGAACTCATTAGTTTTTTGTTTTGTTGTTTTCTTATTTTTTAACCACAATAACAAATTCAACCTCCGAGGTTTTTAACATAATTTAATGTCATTCGAATATGTAAGGTTACTATTTATTCTTAAATGTAAAATTAATGTGACTTGTTTCGGTATTTAAATGTACAGTAACAACACCATAGCTTGTGAGATTAAATCATATGTATCTTATTTGTTGAATAGACATTGTTTCAAATTCAAACACACTAGAGTTATCATTTTCATATTTATATCAATTTGCGCAAATGTTATAACAACAAGGATTTAATCTAAACATATGTAATATGATTTTATTTGATATTGTCTTATTGCATAATACATCATGGCATTACTCTTTTTTTTTTAAATAAAACCTCTGGTTAATGTTTATGTGGTAAAATCTGACAGGTACACATTAGTATTTAATTATCTTAACGGCAATGAGATGATAACATCCTACTACATTGTACATTCGCTTCGTTGAAATAACGATGCATATCAGGATTGAAGTTGGAAGATTCCCAAATACATGGGTATGAATCGGGAAAATCAACTTCCACTCATCATGAATGACTGTAGTGAAATGAAAGCATTCACGTTTTACTGGGACACAGCGCGCGGTAACTTCACACCGCATGTATAGGGGGATATCCACCTGGACTCCAGATATTGTTAATTAGACGGAAAAATCGCTTACAACCATGTTCGAAAATAGCAAAGGAAACTTCCAAAAACTGTTCCAGATTTGTTTTCCAGATTCATTCATATACACAATAGTTTGTTGGCAGATCACATGTTCGCTAATGAGCCGATCGTATACGTCGTTACATACATTAAAACACTAGTCATGATTACATGTTTATTGTAGTTCTTGGTGGTGGAGCAAGAATGTGACTCATTCAGACTTATAAACCAATCAGTATCCTGTATGTGATCTATACAGACACCTTATGGTACACACTAACAAGAGATATGCTTCGGATACGATTTACATGATAATTATTACAGTTTTAAAATGAAAACATGTATTTCGCCTTTCTTACTCCTGATGTTATATCTAAATTCACCAGTTATTTCTCAATATTCCTTAACACGACATCAACGCCATTTAGACTCCTTGTCACCAAGATGACACAAGTCATTATTTTTCATTTAAGCTTAGACAGCGACCCACATATCATTTATATTGCAAGTAACGTAGTTATTGTAAAAATGTTGGAACAACAACTTTAGCGTAAAAATAATAACACATTACCTATTTAACCACTTTTTACAACCAGCAGTTAATGACTCAATCAGGTTAACGTTAACATCTTTAAAATAAGCACCCTATCATCTAAATTATATCTAATAACCAATACATAGCGTTGAGGTTTTGCAATTGCAAGTCAGGTTATATTACAGCACCCATTTTTCTTCTGTGTTTCCTGCTCAAACCCAAATTGATCTGCTGCGCCTATTGTTACAATTGGAAACCCCTGTTCTCACTGCTTCTTAACGACTTTTTGTTTCCTAGTAGTGCCTTGCTTGGAAATGCAACACTTTCAGAGGCATAGGAGGGAAGATGCATATACATCAATATATCCTATATTTCTAAACATTTTCTTCAGGTTGGTAAGTATGGATTATGAGAAGTTCTTTTTACACAACCAATAAAATGCTATTGGTTGTGTAAAAAGAACTTCTCATAATCAATATATCCTGCCTCCTGCACACACACACACATGGGCGCATTAATAACACCCATGGAGACACGTCCGTATATGGCATTTGTAGTAAAAGGAAGTAAAACCTGATCAAACCAAATAAAAAAACAAATACAACACGCAAATGTATAGAAGATTATAAATTGTGCATCTCACATAGGCAGGGAATATGTTCTTTAGTTAAATCATAATAACGTTAGACGAGCAACTAAGATGAAGTTGAACAAATACTTCTAAATAAAATCTACTTACCGGTTTGGTATTGATCGAGATTGTCACCGCTGAATGTGGAGTTGATATAGGTTACTGTGATGTTTGTGCCCATTCGAATCAGGAGGTCATCGATTAGGACAAATACGGAAGTTTGGCTTGGGTGGAGGATACCTGGGGAAACAAAACATGTATTTTTTATTATCAAATACGGAGGTCTTGCAAGGGGGAGGATACCTGGAGAAACATAACAGGTACAGGTATGTTTTATTATCAAATACGGAGGTATTGCCATAGGGGGAGGATACCTTGGTAATCAAAACAGGTATGTTTTATTATAACATACAGACGTTTGACTTGGGTGGAGGATACCTGGGGAAACAAAACAGGTATGTATTATTTCAAAATAAGGAGGTTTGGCTAGGGTGTAGGATACCTAGGGCAACAAAACAGGTATTTATTGTTATAAATTACGGACGTTTGGCTTGGGCGGAGAATACCTGGGGAAACAAAACAGGTATGTATTAGTATCAAATACGGAGGTCTTGCTAGGCGGAGAATACCTAGGGAAACAAAACATGTATACATTATTGTAAAATACGGAGATTTTGCTAGCTGGAGGATACCTGGGATAACAAAACAGGTATTTATTAATATCAAATACGGAGGTTTGGCTTGGGTGGAGGAGACCTGGAGAAACAAAACAGGTAAAGTATGTATTATTAAAAAATAAAGAGATTTGGCTTGATTCGAGGATACCTGGGGAAACAATACATGTATGTATTAGTATCAAATACGGATGTTTGGCTAGGTGGGGGATAGCATGTGGAAACACGTATTTCATAATATCAAATACGGAAGTCTGGCCAGGTTGGAGAATACTTTAGGACACAAAACAGGTATGTATTAGTATCAAATACGGAAGGTTGGCTAGGGTGAAGAAAACCTTGGAAAAAACAGGTGTCTTTTAGTATGGGAATTTATCTACAAAGATCCATAAAAAACGACCAACGCAACTTTGACTAATCACATGTACGATAAACCGTCGTCGTAACAAAGTTGATGGAATCATGACAGTAAGTAGAGATAAGATATTAATAATTAAACCGATTTGGAACAAAAAAGAACAGAGTCCCGTACACATAATTACTTTCACACCGACTGTAGATCATTACTCAAGCTTATTGTTAAACAAACACTGCCAACACATACCGTATCGTGTTGGTGAATCCAGTTGTATATCAAGCTACTATTTACTCTTATTGTGGAGATATGTCTAGCTGTACATTAGGATACAGTGTTGTAGAAGTGTGCTACTCGGGGATCTCGCATTCTGTTAGGATGTCTAGTTGTATATTCAGATACGGTTCAGTCGTATTGTGTGAGTACATGTAGTTATAACTGTACATTCACATACTTTATACCTGTCTCGGAGGATACAAGGTAAAACGAGTTATGCATGATTTCCCAACTAATGACATCTATTTCCTGTTAAAAATTATCTGCAAGTAATTTGAAAGATTATCTAACTTTACCTCAAACATAAACATTTTGCTCTTATTTTCTTCGTGCAGTTGTGAGTTTGAGATAGGAAAAAATGCCATTTGACATGGAAGATAGTGACATAATATTCGCTTTCCGTGTCAATATATATATATATGTACAAAAAACGACCATGAGATATTGCCACATTTATCGAACTCTGCGGTAAAATAAATGATTTTGTCTTGATAATAGATGATATGTCATGGAAACGCATACATTCCAATAGTTCCAAAACCTAATATCTCTACAAATACAATTATGTGCTCGCCTGTGTCTTCAGATAAGCTTTGAATCAACAAGACGATATATCAGATACTCTGCATAATGGGCGGGAGAGCGATGGCCTTGGGCCAAGGTTATGCGTGTCATTGACCTCAGTATACTTTGTATTACAATGTAACGAAACTTTTAAACGGAAGTTCACTTTATCTGCATATTTTTCAACAAACACGTTGATACCATTTAAAAAATGTCAATCATTTCAGATTTTGTAGTCAACTCTATGTTAAATGAATAAATAGACATATTAATTATACTGTGGTAAGAACACAAAAAGTTGGATATATTCATGAATACAGTATCTGTATTTTTCCTTTTTCAAGTATCTTGGCATTGAAAGATCACTGGCGCATCAACTGTGGATACAATTTTGATATGATCATTGGACATCTTACCTTAACAGTTTACCCCCGTTAATTTTGTATTTATCAATTTTAGCGTAGAACACAGTCGTTCAGCTTCAGCTTTAACCTATTTTTCTATTTCTACTCACTCTATAAACCTCTCAAAAATTACATTTACATGGTAATGAGACCAGTTCTGTGGGTGACTTTCTTATGAAGGTAATGAACAGTTTATATACCTCTGACATTCAACTGTTTTGTAAAGATTTTAAACAATCTCTCAATGATAAAGATGGCTGTTAACCTGTTTGGTAAATAACAACTGTTTGATACTTCTTACAAAACCATGACAATGTTGTCAGAAACTCATTTGATACTATGACTATATCAATGTGACTAAATATTCAAAATATGCCGATATGCCATAGCTTACATATGTTTTCCAAAGAGTGTTTTTATTTAAACGTAAATCTCATAACGCTATGAACTGTCATCACTTCATCTGTTTTGTTGTTGATGTGAATACTAGCTAAGGCAGTTCATACGGGTATGACAGTAAAAACTACTGTTCAATCACTCACTCTCTGCAATATGCTATTTTGATACGACACTGGTCTTCACTTGAAACCTTGAAATCTATATATCAGTGTATATATTAGTCGCTATAGACACAATCTATATTAAGATACAATGAAGCCATAAAAGCAGGCATGGCCATCTGGACATGACCTTTCGAATCAAGGTGACACAGCTCCATATAGAACATTATTGTCCACACGAGCATATCGAGGTAATGTTCGATAGCTACGCTAGTCATCAATAATTTACTACACGGCTTATTTCTCACGTCAAAAGGCGGTATACAAATACGAGATTTAACGTCGTCTTGGCCACAGTAGGGAAATTAACATCGGCAGTGACAAGACCACTATAGGGTTTCTTTGATACATACTGTTACCTGATAACAAATATACAATCTTTCTATAAATAATGCAGATTTTGATGCGAGCCTATGGAGACGATACATTAATTTTCTAGTATGAGTGTCGACCATCATACACGCTACCTGATAACGTAGGTAAGTCTGAGATGAAAGAGTGTGGGCCGGCTATGTAGGTGTTTCCCGGTGTCAGATAGCGGTGCTAATTATACTGGTGTCCGGGAATATGGTCAGCAATACCACTGTATTGCAGAATGATTTATTTGTCTGACAGTGCCCTCACTAATAGATACTTACAGATGGGGGTCAAGGTCAGAAGTGACTTGTATGTCGAGTCGAAAACAACAAATAGACTTCATGGATAAAAAGGGGACCAAAAACATGAAACGCAAAGACAATAATATGAACCTAATACTCATTATATTTAAGAAAATATCCATTATTTAAACTATATTAGAAATGACGTATTGAGATGTTTTGTTTTTTTTAAGTAGAGAAAATGTATTTGACTAAGCCACAAGTGTGATACAATATCAACAACACAGACATTCCTAAGGTATATGTTTCTCGGTTGTGTTTGAGAGGTCTTCGCCACAATCGATTTAGTTATATGTTCGACGGATGTAAACATATTGATTCAAATGATGTCTTGAAGATAAAATTACGATATTTCTTAAAAAAGATGAAAATTGATATTTTATTTTGCAACAACTGTAATTCAAGGCCAGCTGTGCATGCATACAGTATTTTACTTGGCAAAAGGAAAACGCCTGTTCGAAATTGTGTTTCTCTTGTCTTCACCGATTTAGATAAATAGTACCTTGCTGTGGATCTATCAATATAACTAGCCTAATAAGGATAAAAGAGAAAACATCGCTCAAGTACATCACTGTAACAGCAACGAACAGCAATCCTGACGTAACCGAGGTAAAACAAAAAAATGTCAAGTTTTGATGTTTATTTGGTCTTCGACGATATGATTTAGGTACATTTTACACTGGTTTGTAAATATTGATACAACTGATATCTAGAAATGAGGAATATTCCTAAAGGGAATAACAAGGAATCAAATCAGCACTGTTAGAGCTCTCTCCCAATTGCATGATAACGTCTGTAACTACTGGAGCATATTGTCTGGGACACCAGATCACTTCGTTGTGCTAAGCATCGAAACATAAAAACCGGCCGCTTATCTTTGTATAGAAGTCATACTCGGATGCCTAAGTCATAAGATGACATCGCTTGTGAATTTTTATTAACTGGGAGCCGTTTGACCTTGTTGCATTGTGATACACACAAGAGTCAATCCTAACAAAAACTAAGCTGATACCTCCTGTTGGTTCTGGATTAAGACTAGGTCCGCCATACTCTATCGTACAACATCCTAAGAGGTGTATAGTGTTAAGTTCCTGATTTCTGCATCTCATAACGACGTTGCATCCTGCTGGTTTCCTCGGCCATTTTACCAATATAATGGCTTTGGAATGTGCGCCCTACGTCTGACAGGTTAAGGGTTCGTACCAGGCAGCCAGTTAGCTGTCAGACTATCAGTACTGATGCACTGTATATTAGTACTACCCGCTTCAGGATCACACAAGTACACATGCACTATGACCAGCAAAATGTAGTAAAATAGAACCAAATAGTCCATGTACCATAGCGGCAACACACGAAGCAGCTCCCAGAAACGCAATGCTTTTATGAAACGACAACAAAAGGAACCGAGCAACACCAAAACAAAAGAAAATACATAATCACCACCCACAACAAGGTGGAATAATAGAGAAAATGTTGTTGTAATTTCAAAAAGTAAATGCTTATGTTAACTTAACGTTCGATATAAGTGAATGTTGGAAGACATATCCATTTCAGAATTAATTGTAGCTCAGCGTTGTAACAAACATACATTTAATACTATAACAAATTGTATTTATGTATTTACACATTATTCTATACTATTATGTTACATGTATACATGGCATTTTTCGGTAGATGATAAAAAGCTAATGATATGTGTTTTAGCAAATTGTCACCATCCGACTATAACGAATGATAAATACTCACAA